GTATTTAGCAACCTAACATGTCTGCCTTAAATAATTATGTGTTAGGTAGTTGAGATGTAGTTCAGCCAGAAGCATAAGCTGTATGGAAGGATGGGATGGAAAGAACCCAAATGAGACTTGCCTAAAGCTACTGTGGCAGCTCACATAGACAGAGATGAATTTTGAACTGAAGAAAGCCCAAGTGATTTTGTTTAACCCAGTGGTTTTCTCACTTTTAAATAAGCTGCCCTATAGTAATTTGTTTTGATTTTTCTGAAAGAAAATTCTCATGTTTTCAACTATCAACTGAGAAATTTTATTGAGGATATTTCCATATTTAAAAAATAAAAAATCTGACCATTTCTAACACTTTTTTTAACCACCATACCTTTATTTCTAAGAAAAAATGAATACTATTTTCTCATCAATGTAAGTGTCCTGCTACATTCTTCTCTGAATGTCAGCCACTTCTGCTCACCAGCTAGATTTAAGAATTGTATTAAGTACATTCATCAGTAAAACATGATTATTGTATGTAATGGGAACTTATTTTCTGTGAGACGGGGTTTTGATGACATAACAGTAGAACTACATTACTCAAATTCTTTGCATACCCCAGAGTTCTGGCATTCAGTGATTATTATATAAAACAAAAATTGGAAATTGCCTACGAGCATTGTAATGAACTCACTGTGTAAATGGGCTATTCCAAGTATTAGCAAATCTTTGGAAAAAATGCTCCATAAAGCTTATAATACTGTGGCTCAGAGGAGGAAAAAGAACACCTGTGTTTCTTATTACTTGAACTATTCAAATGGACAGTGCATCTTTCTACTAATGCCTGGAGAAGTGGTGTGTGCCCCATCCCTGGAGGTGCCCAAGGCCAGGCAGGTTGGGACCATGGACAGCCTGATCTAGTGGGTGGCAGTCCTGCCCATGGTAAGAGGCTGGAGCTGAGTGGTCTTTAAGGTCCCTTCCAACCTAAACCATTCTGTGATTTAAAAAATATTTAAATGACCTGCTTTAGGGAGGTGTCTATGAAATAGAGACAGAATGTATCCTTTTTTTTATTTCTGAGGGATTGCTATACCCCTTCAACTTTGCTTGTGTCGAGTTAGTGAAGAAAAGTAACAACCCCTCTTCCTTTTCTTCTGTATTTTTATGCACTTATACAGCCAAATTTAATTGCATATGCAGTGCAGTCATGTTCTGCATGATGGATGAAAAGCTGTTCTCAAGTGGATGAGTATGTCATGGCTGAATGAGCTGGCCCCCTGCTTTTGTTATTTTAAAAAGGTCTATGTACTAAAAAACCTAGTTCTGTTAAATATTAGCAAGACTGTAGAGTGAATTCTGATCACTGAAATTTACTGAAGATGAATTGTCTGCCTTATGTGTTACGTCTGGTAAATAGCTGGTTGCTGTGGTGACTGCCTAAAAGGTAGAGGGTCATTGGTACCACATAAATTCTTTAAACAAAACCTGATCATAGCAAATTCTAACATTAGTCTTCAAAAAAGGATTAAAGAGGAGGAAGAGATTCAGACAGCTTTTTCCTTTTGTAAACTTGCTGCTTTACAGGGGAAAAATAGCTAGAAATAATATGTCTCGTACAAAATGAAAAGGTTGTGGATTAAGGCACTGCCTTGGTGAAACAGCTGTATGAATGTGAAACAGAAAGTTCTCCAGCTTCAGCCATTATGGGTTTGTTTGGTTAGGTCTAATTTTGGAAATCGTTATAGCAAAGGTAAATGACTTGCACAGACTACTGTAAACAAAGGACTCGATACATTTACTTTGGCAGGAGGCTGGAGAAGACTCGGTCCTTTCACTGCCTCTTTTTTACAGCCTCTGTAATCTCTCACTGACTGCCTGTGTATGCGGGCGGCTCACTTCCCTTCCTCCCTCTCTGGCAGCTTCTTTTCCTTGACAGGTAGGGATTAAGGGTGGCAGCACCTGCTGTTGAATTCCTGGTGAGTAGCTGTGCAATGCCTTTATTCTTATAGTAGTCCCTTGACTTCAAGAGCCACTGCATTTTGCTCAAGAAAGAATCTCCATTCTCTGCCAGCCAAGTACTGGTGTACAATCTGTTTCAAATGCTTTGCTTTCCAGTTGTGGCTCCTCTGTTTGCATTTTTACATCTTTTACCTTATCTTTTAATAGCTCTATAGCTACAGACTATAGGAATACTGGTGCTTAGCTGAGTTTTCTACTTTTTCAGTGAGGATTAAAGTATGGGAATAATTCCCTTCCTACGTCTCTGCCCATTCCACACCTGCTTACTCACTCTTGCGTGGGTACAAGAAAGTGACTCCTGTGATGACAGTGGCCACACGGAGCCTGCTTTTGCTCTTTTATAAAGCTCTTTAAGAACAGATTGTGTGCATGTAGCAGAACATACACTGATTGCTAAAACAGAAAGGATGAAGTAGAGGGTCAGAGTCAATATTCTGTTTGTTGATTTTCCTCATTGCTGGAGATTCCCCTTTGCATTCCATTTAAGGAGGACTTCTGGGTGCTGTCACTTCCCAAATTGTCTGGAGGTTCTTCCAGTCAAGGAATAACTGTTCAGCTTTACCTTAACTCATGAGGCTGGCTGATCTCTACCTTGAATTCATTTATTAAAACAGGGTTGTTATGCTGTGTGTTCAAATCACAGGAAACCCATCCCTGGGCACTTTCTCACGCATTTGAATCCTGTGGAGGTCTGCAGTGTTGCTGGTCATTCTGGTTCATCACTTGTACCAACAGAATTGATAGGGTCATTTTCTGTTCCATTAGAAGAGAGGATTCTCCTTAGACCTGGAAATGCTCCATTAGTGCTTGTTAACTAGAAATACAATAATTGAGGAGCTGGTAGGAAAAGATTTTGTAGTAATCCTGATCTCTAAATTGGAGCATAACCATATAATAATTAAACATGAAAATATTTAACCGATATGACTGATACAAATAAGCCCCAAATAAGCCAACAGTGGAATTGAGTGCCTGGAAAGATGTTTTATTTCAGATTATTTTCACCTCGTGCTGTATATACAATATTATCTGTCTGCTTTCATGTCATGCAGTTGATTCTGGAGAAGCAGATGTGGTTTTAACTGCATGAACTCTTTTGAACTTCCTTCCACCTGCATGGTCTTTGAATGTCAGGTGAAGCATGCAACTTCTATTTTACTTGTATTATTTTCTGTTGTCTTAAGAAACCAGAAGACAACAAAAAACTTATCATGAAGAGAAGCAACCTGCTCTCAAATCTTACTATTGGGGAAAAAAAATCACAAAACATACATCTCTTGTAAAAGCTAGCACAGTGAATAAGAATTAATAAAATGTAGACTTTTTTGAGTGAGGAGATGTGAAGATGTTATCACATAAGTTAGTGGGGAGCTTGGAAACAATGGCTTGTGGTTACTGCCCCTAATGTTTGAATACAAACCCAAAGTCAAGCCAGAAGTTTTGGCTATGACAAACTTGTAAATTTCCAGTGTAAAATCCAGTCTAACATTTCAGAGGCAGAGGTGTGGCTTCAGCAGAATAGAAACTCTTGGAGAAATGAACTCTAAGAAGTTTGTGTGCTGTCTAATCACCAAGTGCCCATGCATTGCTTCAGTCAGGATGTGGCTGCCTTCTATAAAGTGACGAATCAGTGTCATCTGCAGCCAAGCCTAAGATCAACTACCACTGTGATATATAAAACCCATTTTCCAACTATGAATTTAATATTGTAACCTTTTCATTAAACAATGATATAACATTAACTATTTCTAGAATGTAATACTTATAGGCATTTGTGTATTCCTGCTAAATTGCAATATGCTGTTCCTCTTAATTAACCTCTATTGTGGACAATGTTTTGCTCCCTTTATACAAATTGAAATGCTCTATAGGTGTAACATTCTCAACTGAATCAATTTTTCTTTCTCAGAAAGAAGTATTGTCAGTTCTGCCCTGCAGAGTTGCAGAACTGAGTGATGCTACTATGTACTATTAAATGAGTATGAAGTCTCTGTCTTAAAGGAGTGGATTGGCAGGGAATATGAGAGCAACTACTATACCTTTCACTGCCTCTCACCCACCAAACCTGTAGATAAACAGAGAAGTGTGTGATTCCAGGAGCTGTGAATCATTACCTTGGGTTTGGTTAGGCTTGGCTGCCAGGAGGAGGCTGTGTCCTTCAATTCTGAGTTTCCTGAATCTGTTTCTTTTAAGCTCTGAGCAATCTCTATCACGGTGATTTAATTATTGAAATTATATGTTACATTTCAGCTAGAAAAACATAAATGTGCATTATGATAGTATAAACCTATGCAGATGAGATCTGTCACTCCTAGTGACAAGCCTGAGAAAGGAGAGTTGCATTGGTCATGTTTGGGGTGGCCATGACATTCTTCATACCTCCAGTGAGGACTCAAAAATAGATGGTTAACCTATGAGAAAGTACCGCTGCAACAGTGCAGTAATTTGCTGGTTTCTCTTTCAGAGTTTCTGTTACTGTAGCCAACTTATTGTTAGTGGAAGCTTTTAGAAAGGATGGAGATTGAGGGGGGGGGGGTGGAAAGGGGGAAGGTTATTGTCTTTTTTTTAAACAGGATCAGCTTTCAGTGGTGAGCATGGGCTGAGCTGAGTCTCATTCCCGTACGTAGAGAATGGCTGCAGGCATTGTATACAGCAACTACCACAAGATCTTGGAATTTCTGCATGAGTATTTCATATCTCTTGGAAAGCTGCCAAGCAAAATTTAATTGCTTGTGGTGAGATCTTTCTCTGTGGCTAGACAGGGCATTGAATGCTTTTGAACTTTTAAATTACTATGGAGCAGCCTGATCTAGCATGGTTGTGTTTAACATACAGATACATAATGAGAGATATTTCTTAATCAGATAGAGTTCTTTGATGCACTTTTTAGTGTTACATATACCAACTCTCTTCAGGGAGAGGAAGGGAGTTCTTGTAATAACATACGTGTTTGTTTTTCTGTTTAGTAAATTCACAGGTGTATGGTTTTTCTTGTGTCTGCCCAGGAAACCACGTCTTGTCTCCTGGAGAGTCTGTTGGAAAAGGTCTAACGCCAGAAGCTGCAAAAGAACTCGGTCTCCCTGAAGGGATTGCAGTAGCAGCATCTCTCATTGATGCACATGCTGGAGGACTAGGTACTTAGTCACATATTTACTGTTCTGGGAAGCAGGAATGTATTGAATTAATTTTAGCTTTTTTTTTTTTTTTTTTTTGCATAGCCAATTTTATATCCAGCAGCTTGCTCAGATGCTGTTCTTATAAAATAGTGTAACTAAAATTAAAAAACAACGGCAACAAACAATAAGTACCAACATTGAATATCTCTTTATAGAAAAGCCCTCAGGTATTGCTGCTTATTTCTTAGCAGCAAACTTCCAAATTGTGCATTAACTCCTGTCAGCTCCACTTTGAATTCCTGAGCTGAAACACCATTGGGCTGGCAAGGCAATGTGATGCGTGCACATCTACGGCTTAAAATTTGGGGGATAAGCAAGAAAAATAAAAACTTTTCTCCGAGCAAGAACTCTCATGTCTATGTTGGTTTTCCTTCCTGTTTTTAGGAAATATTCATCCTTTAAATACTGCAGTGGGTACTTTTTCATGGAAGTTTATGCTAACAGAATGCTGGATATGTACCAACAACAGTGCTTTTGGTCTAGGAGTAAGATTAGATAAATACTGTGCATCTAAACTAGCAAACAAGAATAGAGAGAAAGGTGGCCTATGAGAGGCAATCCCCATCTGAGACTTTCACCTTTTTTCCACAGCTGGACTGTGAAAGGCTTAATGTTAGTGTTTATAGACAGTATTCTGATGTGCTCAGTTTCAGATACATTGAAATATGTTTGAGAGGCTCATCTCCTTTATTTTCTTACTATACTGTTATAGTTATCTATATAGAGTAAAAAACAAAGTGATTCAATGTAACTTTTTCAGCAGGAAATGGAGGTTTTTGAGTTTGATTAGTTAAAAAAAAATTGTTACCTCAGGAAGTTTCAGTGTTATTGAAACAGTGCTACCTTTTTGATAACACTATACAAAATTCTTAATATAAACTCATGCATGCCTGTGCTGAGCGGTGAAAAATAAAGCATAAATAGACTTGCAGTTTTCTGCTGCTCTCTACAAATAAGCCCTGTATGTCAGCTATGCTGCTATTTAGTCACAAACTAACTAGGATGGAGGGATACGAGGACTTATCTTTAAAGACACTGATTTTTTGCCCTTGATTTTCTGATTATTTAAGTAACTTTCAACCATAATACTGTGATAATCATGGCAACCATGATAAGAGAAAACCCAGCAGACAGATTGATAACAGAATCTTGCAGTTGTGACCTAAACAAGAAAGTGTTAAGAAAATGTATTATACTAACCACAACACTTGGCACCTTTCACTTCATAAAATCTATGGTTTTGAAGATATAAAATATCCATCAAAAGTTTTTGCTATCCTTCTACAGTGCAGAGAAATATTATTTATGTTGGTAGGATTGCCAAACCAGTCACTACACTGCACATTGATCTATTAAAAAATAATGGTCAAGAAAGCATGGTTTGTTATGTTGCTGCAATGCCATGCAAGCAAGAATACAACTTAAGAAGAGAAGGAGAGGGCAAAAACTTCCATTTCAGCTTGTCTTTAACTGATTTAAGCGTAATTAAATACGTGGTGAAGCTTCACTGCAAATCTGCACCATTCTGCAAGCAGTATCCTGGCACTTCTCTGGCATCTCCCAGTATAAATTTCTGCTGTAGGCTGAGTGCTTGTTATATTTGTCCTCTTTCCTGTGCTGCCCTGCATGTAGAAGCTTCACGCAGAAAGTTACAGCCAAGTGCAGCTCCTCATAGGGAAGGACTAATCTGTTCTCCTGTAGATAGTTCTGTCTGACACAGACAGCAGCAGCAGCCAATACAACAGCACTGGCAGCCTTCCAGTCTGCTGCCAAGTTCTCCTTTTTACCAACTCATCCCCTGACAAAACACATCAAACAGTGTGTGATAAACTGTCAACAAATAAACATACCTGCTGTGGTGCCTTTCCTACCAGGGCAGTTTTTTTTTCTGTATGTTAGCATACTCCTTAAGGTAATGAAGGTCAGGTTGTAGTTGATACAACGCTTAAAGATCATGATGATAAACATGAACAAGAAAACATCTTGTGTCCTCATGCATCTGTAATAAAAAAGAAATATTTTATCAGAGTTATTTTATAGCTTTGTTTATTGAGAAAGTAGAATTTTATGATTTGTGGTAGTGGTGTGAGATATTTGGCAATTATTTGTGCATGAAAAAGCACTGTTTTGTGAGGGTTGGCTTGCTCTTCACTAAAATAGCATTTTGATTTTATTTTAATAGGAGTAATTGGAGCAGATGTGAGAGGACATAACCTGCCATGTGAAAACCAGCCAATTACATCACGAGTTGCTCTGATCTGTGGAACATCTTCGTGCCACATGGGGGTAGGTTGTATGTATAGTCCTAATTTGTGGAGAGTATAGTAACTTATGTGTTTGGAGAGAAAAGTGACCTTTGTGCCTCTCATCCTTTCCCTTGATTTTTTTTTTTCTGTTAACTCTGTCTTTACCTTTGGTTATTAATTATATATTACCATGCATTTAGCAAGGACTTTAATAGTAGTAGCAATCAATACTGAAAAATGACATGAAAAGTAGAAACCACGATGCTAGAGTGGCTTAAAGAGCAGGCTGAAATCTGAGCCAGACTCTGAGCTTGAGTTATCTGTGACAAGCTTGTCACTAATGTGTTACAGAATAGTGTCTTTGGAGAAGGAATGCATGTCTCCAGTCACAGCCCTTTTCCGCCACCACTTCACTTAATCAATATAAATCATTCTACCTCTGTAAGTTGCCATGATCTATGGAATTACAATCTGTATCGTGACTAAAAAGAAAGAAAAACCTTGATAAGCAATTTTCTCTTCGCTAATTTTTCTCGGTGAATTAATACAAAAGCTTTTTCTGAAATTGCAATTAAAATTTAGTGTCTGCTTTTGAAATTTATACCTTTTTAAAATGTATGAGTCTGAAAGCATTCCATTTAGATAAGTACCCTTTTCTGCCACATTTTTTATTTAAAACTCATTTCACTCTTAAATTTAGACTGATTATTGACTTGTTTTTTTTTTACTAAATGAGCAAATGGCAGTTGGAGTGCTATTGAATTTAGAGAGGTCTAACGTGCTTCATAGAGAGAGATCTCCTGTAGAGAAAAAGAAAGGAAGCAGATAATAAAGCATCAGGTTTAGCAGAATCTATAAGTTGCCTTTGTAGTAACAGCATGCATTAAAGTGATCTTGTCACGTGGATTGTAGTGCAGCAAAGCATTTAGGCATGATTGAATTTAAAGATAAAAATAATCCCAGTATTGTGAAGCAGGGCATTTAACAAAAGCTTAGATGCTGTAAAACAATGGGGAATATATTTGGATTCCTTCCTAAGCTGTAGATTTGAACATCTAGTGTGCTGCTATTAGCTTACTTTGTCTCTGAAAAATCACATTGGTGTCTATACCCATTAAGGTGCTGGAATGGCACCCTGCAAACACCAGCTCTGGGGGTGAAGTTGCCCTTCTAAGCGTGCCCTTACTTTCGCTGTTTGCAGTTCATTTGGTGAAGGTCCTTCAGAAGAAGCTGTTTGTGTGAACTCTTCCTAACCTATTTCATTTAGCTGAGTTAGTTTAAATCATTAAAATAAGCTGGGTTAATAGATACATAATACTGGGCTAAAATGAGCTAAGAACCTCTCAGTCAGTTTCCCCAAAAGGTCTGAGGGCAATGTTAAAGGGCTGGAAATGAGCCAGCTGGCTGTAACTTATTCCTTTAGTGTAACTCACCCTGGAGGAGGACTATGTATGGTTATTTATTAATTTCTAAAATATGTATATTGGTAAATTCTAACGTAGTTCTGAACTCAGTTCACAACTGCAATTGGGGGGAAAAAAAAACAACAAACTAAATGAAAGCATATCAGTGTAAAGACTTTAAAAGCACTTTTTGTCTGCATACTCCAAGATGTTGTGAGATGTGGCCCCATTAACTGCACTAATGCAACAGAAGTGGCATGATAACGTCCGTGTTGATGTTAATCATTGTTCTGTTCTGTCATTAAAGCTAACCCGATGTGTGCATACACTGTACAACATAGACAAGATGGAACCTTTCAAGACTCTTAATCATTTGAATGCAAACTCAGAAATAGATGTTTGTGCAGCGTTGGGTTTATTTAAATGTAACTACTCAGCATTTTATAATCATTTCCTTAACCACCTTCCTTCGCTTATCTGATCAGAGGTATAGCAATCTTTAGCAGGCAAATTCTAAACTTCTCTGCATTTAATCTATGGAAAGATTTTGGTTTACTGTTATTTTATCTATTACCTATGTACGCTACATGAAATGAATGCAGAGCACACAGCGCAGTTGTATTTGTGTTTTAACGAGACCTATATGCAGCTGCATTTGGCTGGAATTAGCTGTTCCTTTTTTTAATTAGGGCTATAAAATGAAAGTATATTATACTTGTGTTTTGATAGAAATATATATTTGCTCTCTCTGTGTGCACCAAGGGACCCTCAGGGCTATAGAGATTAATCATCGAGTTTAATTTAATGCAGTGGGAGAGAGACCTGTGTGGTCAGGCGGGCATTAAAAAGTGCCTTTGATCTGCCTCAGGTGCACTGAGCTCCAGTGAGCCAGCAACAATAATACCTTTGTGAGATGATCAGAGACGAGAGAGGGAGAAAATGGCCTGTGTGGAAACTCAAGGCCGTCCTTTGTTGTGGTTCTGGCAACCAAAAGAGCCAACTGTCAGGAGAACTTCAGCAAACAGAAAGCAGGGTGAAAGTACGGCTGGATTTTTTTCAAGAGATTGTAACAGGAAACTGTTCAAAATCATCTGCTATGCGTCTCTCCCCTCCCTTCCTCCTCTTGGTGGGGGCTGGAGTATTACTGCTGCTGTGTCTGTTGGTACAGTATTTCCACTCTCAGACCGAATCCTCCATGAGTCACAGAGTAGGTATTGCTTGAACATGGCATTTACTTTAAACTTTGAAGAGAAACTACTCCATGACCCAATTTTTATTACCTCAAGGACTCTAGAGATCTTGAACAAAAGACTTTCCTAGTTATGCCTTTGATATTTTAGAGAGTACAAATGTGGAACCTAATTTTACTCATGGCTATAATAGTTTGTGGTAAAGCTATCACTTTTAAGAGAAGATCCACTTCTAAGAATTAACCAGTGACAGTTTTGGATGATCAAGCATATGCAAAGCACTGTGTTTCTGTTGAGATACTTAACTAGCTTGTGAAAGAGGCAAAAAGCACAGTGTAATTTGGTTACTGAACCATGGCCAGGTCCTAGCAGGTAGCTGCTGAAAGTCACTGCCACCTAAGGGCTCATCCATTATCCGTGCTTGGGGACGTGGGGGCTGATAGTCTTTTGAATACTTTGGAGCAGTTATTCATTTTATGTGATATTCTGCTGCCTCCTTTGCCCAAGCAGAAGTCATCAGTGCAGTTTGCTTTTGAAATGGCAAATAAGCTGTCCTTTTGCTTTTGAAGGTCGATTCCTTAGTGTAGGGCTGGGATTCATTTGCTGTGGCTTTGATCTCCGAGCAGAGTAGGTATTCCTTTCAAGTGATGGTACGCAGTGGCTGGCTGTTCTGCGTAGGCTGCTGCCGCCCATCGGGCTTTGTAGGAAGGGTGTCTAAGCTCCAGCACCCACACTTAGTTTTGGAACTTAAAGGAAACTTTGCTTGTGCCACCACGGCAACTACACAGTGTCCTGTACCAGAAAACTCCTAGTATTCCTTGCATAAATCGAGCAGTACTGCTGCTTCTTTCTGATAGATGAACATTGCAACTTCCTGTACCCGCTAAAGAATAACGCCTTCTCAGGGACACTAAATTCACTTTTTTCCCCCTCATAATAACGTGTATTGTGAGACTGTAAGCAATTTGAGAGTACAGGTTGCAGGACAGTTGTTCCATTTTGGAAATACTTGTCATCCTCGCCCTAATACCTTTTTGAATTCATAGCTGAAGGAATTAGAACATCATCTAATGGGAGCATTGTCTGGGCTGATTTCAGCTTACTGAGGGGGGCACTGAATTTGCTGCCATTTTGAAATATAATGGGTTTTGTCTGTTTTGGTGTGTTGTTAGTTTTTTTTTTTTCCATCCTCATTTATTGATATGATCATTCTTCAGTCATTCTGTTTTCTTTATCAGCGCTCTGTATGCAAAACTTACTTTTTGAGATTGTCAGGGAGTCTTTTTTGGTTTGGATGGAGTCTCTTCTTTTACATCTTTTTGTTACTCCTCTACCTCTGTCATTGGGAACTGACTCATCTTCTGTGGTGCACAAGTTGTTTTTTTTCCCCTGGTGGTAATGTATGTGCGGTTTGAAGTTTAGAATTCAGTCCTTTTTTAAAATTTGAGAGCCACAAGTCGTTTATTTTCTATCTTGCTTATATTCACTACGTGATCTAAGAGACTGAGTTTGAGCAGCAAAATGGGCAGTTTGTTTTGCTGTTCCAGTGCTTACTATGGATTATTTTAGGAAGAATATCCCGTATTCTGTTCTACCAAGCCTGACTAGTCTTTGCCTGTTTTCTTCTAAAGGAACTTCAGCCCAATTTGCTTCTTCTAAATTTGTTCATTTGATTCTCGTGATGACTGGCAAACACAATAGAGCTTCATTGCTCCACAATATCCACCCAAGCTGCCAGCTTTGTTCACACAAATAGAGTGCAAAGCACGTTTCCACCCCCAAAGCATGCACAGTACGTGTCCTTTACAGTACATCCTGCAGTGGAGGCTGCAGAGACATGCTGGCTCGAAGTGTTCTCATAGCCTGATCTCTGTAATCTCGGTGGGAGCCAGACCAGCAAGTGGATTCCGTATATCTTGGCTCTGATACCAGAGTCTCCTCTTCAGAACATGCCACGTTGTTAAAGCAGCAGACCTTAGAGTAATTACTACAGAAGGACTCCTCAGCTGCTTGAAATCATCTGCGATGAGGGAAAAACTTGCAGAGACCAAACAGCCGGGTACTTGCTTTCCCAGCTATATTTAATCTCATCGGATGGCACTGAGCAAAGTGTTTCTAGAGCTGAGAGCTGTGTGCAGCGCTTCAGCCTCACGCCCTGCAGCACGGCTGCACATGTGGCCCTGCTGTGAAACGTGCAGTCTCCGTGGGGACAGGGCCAGAAGCCCTCAGCGAGGAGCCTGGGTGCCAGCTGGCTGTGACCCAGGTTCAGCAAAGGCAGCAACTTGTCCTTCTGCTGACCAAGGAAAAGGGGTTGGGTTTGGGAGGGTGAGATGAGAGAGGAGGAAAGCAGGAGGGGGGGAAAAAAAAACACAAACAACACAAAAGCAACACTTCTGAAGCTGAGGCAATCTAGAGAAATTTTTGCAATGACCCATGCCTGCTTTTGA